CTCGCTCCCCCCCTCTCTCCCCCCCCTTCTCTCTCTCTTCTCTCTCTCTCTCTCTCTCTTTCTCTCCGCGCCCCCCCTCCCGGAAAAGCAGATGGCTAATGCCTAGGACATTTCTTTGCTACTTTCACAAACCTTCCTAGTACCCTAAGGTTGTGAACAAATTTAAGAGAAAGAAGTTTAGAGATGGAAATAACGCAATTTTTGGATAAATCGCCATGAGTTTTCATGCTTTGGTATGCTATTTCCTAACCTCTGGCAATAACTGGATTCAAGTTGAAATCAAAGTTTCTCTCTGAAACAATCAGTTTTTCTAAATAGTGAACAAATTTCCTTTAAGCTCTAAGACTGGCATATTCCCCAAACTCTCTGGTATGAAAACCATATTCTATACCATATTCTATGAAGAGGTACGTGAATCTAAAGATTCTTCACTCAAAGCTTTACTTCAGAAAACCAGACGCAGTTCTGCTGCCGTCTACTTAGGGACTCTCACACTAATCGCTCCACCTAAGGATCCCAAATCTCCCCTGGAAGAATCCCTCGACCTAGGGCCCTGATGATCTGTTTCGGTCTTTCCTGTGTTGCTGTCCTCCTCCCTCTCGCAAGCCTCTGCTCATCAGGGTCTGTATGTTTTCAGGCCAGTGGAAATATAATGCCCTGGCCAACTGCCACTCCCAATACAGGAAGAGCATGTAATGTAGGGAGGTAGAAATCTAGCCAGTGACCCAGGGCTCCTAAAGAGAGGTCATTCAAACCAATGCCTGCCAAAAGTGGCCACAAACAGTGGTGCATGCCTGGAGCTCCTCTGGCAACAGGAACAAACCACAGCTGAAGTCCTCAGAAATAAAAAGCAAATTTGAACTTGGTGCTAGAGAGAGAAACCAGGCACACGGGCCTTAGGGCCATGCCGAACAATTCGTGGTCAGCAGAGTATCTTTTATCCATCCTCACCACCCCCTCACCCCCAAAAACAAACGAACTGCTTGTGATACACTGTGGGGTGGGGTGAGGGAGAGCTCCAGCCTGGATTAATAAATAGCTTCTGGAAAGCCACAGGGAAGAGAATCCTCCTCAAAAGATACAGAACAGTTTCAAGTCCTAGGGAAAGGTGCTTCTACTTTCACCTGAACCTTGGCTCTTTCCCCGCTGAGTAGTACCTTCCTCAGGTCAGAAAATTCCAGAGTTCTGGCCTCCTGGCAATCTTCATTCCTTGCCCTTGGAGGCAACTCCTATGATTGACCTCCTACTACCCAGAAGTCATGCCACAGTTATGGGTCAATTATAGTTTATACTCCAGTGCCCTTCTCTGCTGAGCTGCCCTCATTTTCATTGGCACAAAACATTCCAGGCTTTCTTCCCCCCACATGCCATTTCAAATGCCACTGCCACCACCCAACAACAACAAAACAACTGAAACACACTCTT